TCGAGATTCACTAATCGACAAAACAAAAAAAAAAAAAAGAAATAAAAAAAAGACTAAATCGCGGAAGCTAAGTGCACATGAACGATCAATGATCGTAATGATCGTTGTCCGTACATGTGCAGAATCTCAAGCGCATCGTTCGTTTCGAAACCAAATCACGACCGCGACCGCGAAATTCGAAAAATCGATGAGCAAAATCAGAGTGGCATGCTCCATTCGCTCCAAATTCACTCTCGATTCTTCAAATTATATTTCCTGAAACAGATTGTCACGCGAAAACGCGCCTACCCGACCAGAGACTGTGACAATCTGCCCGGCCCTACCTACTTACAATTAACACACACACACACCAGAAAGTATGCTACCTATCCTACCTAACCCTATATTTAAAAAATGGCAAAACAGGCATACCAACACATTCATTCCACGATTCTCACACATAATACTCGGGCGCAAAAGCCTACACTAGGGAAACGTCCCGGGACGCCTCCGACACCCGAGCTTGGCATACTACATTCACACTCTAACTGTACGTACCATTTTCCTGAAATCAACTGACGATACTTAGCGACCATTGCGTGAAACGCGATAAAAAATATGTATATATCTTAATTTTAATTATGAATATATTATTTAATTGTAATATTATTAATAGAAAGATATGCTTTCAAGAAGAGAAAATTAAATTACTTGTAAAATGTCACGAAATTTGATATTAATTGCAATTTGAAAATAAAAATTATAATTTCATATATATAAATTATGCTAGAATCGTTAGAAATTGTAATGAGAATAATCGTATTGAATATCTCAAATTAAACTGTGCAAAATGTTAAACGAAACGACGCAATTCCACAGCCTAACCATACACACAATGTGGAAAATACGTCGCGCACGATACACTAACGCATCGTCAGTCGCTGAAAAATTATTAGAACCTTATGAACTATGATCATCATACTCATCGCCTCTCTCTCATCCAAGTAGCACCTGGGCACGTGAATGAGATCCTGGCAATGGATACGGAAAGGGTTAAACCTGAAAATCCTGAGCTAAAAAGATAGATTAGTATAAATATTTTGTATCTAACGGACTAATATTCTTTAATTCAAGATCTGTTTATTTTATTTCAAATTTTAATTTAATTTATTTTATAAATTTAATAAATTATTGTTAATTTTAAAAAAGATACGATAATAAAGAAATTTATTTTTAACAATTAATAATAAATTTATATATATTAATAATTAATAATAAAAAACAATTGACTCTAAATGAAATATTATTGAAAATAACCTCAGGCGATCTCTTCATCAAGATACATTTTCAAAAATCCAAAATCAATATACAAAACTTCGTATCCTGATTCAGAAATCTACCTGTCGCGTAATATCTTCTTGCACAAAATATTTCATACAGTTTTTTTTACGGAGAAAATAAAATATTTTTTACATTTCGATATTTTTTCAATATTTTTTTCATTTATACTTAAGTTTATAACATCAAATAATTCAATATTATGATAAGAAGTAAAATTAAAAATCATATATATTATTGTATAATCGATATTTTTATCTATTATATAACGAAGTCGGAGGACATCCGACTTCTTCACTACAAGAGATTTAATTGAGGATTTTGATCAATTCAAAAATATTTCTCATTTATTCAAATATTCATTTTTATCCATGTTTTTTATTAAAAATGTACATCTATATGGTTATTTAATTTTCATTTTATAAATGATTAATAAAGATTTTCAATCATAAATGATTAAACTAATTACTTATATCATTCATATTAATAATTAGATATATTATATTATATTATATTAACTATCAATATCATTTTAAAAACGCGAGGTGCAAGAAGATCTATCCTAATCTAATAAATAAAACACAAAGAAAGAAATGTTATTACTCACGAGTATGATAAATACTCGCGATCACTGTGCTCGTGTAAAAATCTACGTATACAACCAGTCACCCGTGTCGATTCGGACCTTTCATCCTACGACATGATTGAGTGACTAGAGGAACATAAATGCATGCGACTCACCATAGATGCGAAGAATCTGCATTGTCGTTGCCCAAGATGTGTAAGTAGTCATCATCATCAAGAAATGGAAACTATAACAAAACACGAAACATCATAATTAAAACACAATACTGATTATTTAAAAAAATTGAATTGGAAAATATATATAAATAATTACCTCTTCGCGTGGTGGATGATTGCCCTATTCCTTCGAGAAACACTGACTCTATCCTGTACCGAAAACGAATATTTAAAAAAATAAAATAAAAAATAAAAAACTACCATCGCGTCGATTTAAAACATAGGCGACGAACAAGCACTGACTCTAGTTTCGCGAATAATTATGATAATTAGAGTTATTGTGCATTAAAATATTTAAAAAAAACTGTTACGGAATAAGCACTGATTCTACAGACCGCATTGCACGCGGTCACAAATATTTTTTAAAATTGAAGTCCAGTAAAAATGTTCATAAACACTGGCAAAGTCAGGCATCTTTAACAAAATGTAAAGTATTATGTGTAATTATTTTTTTAATAATACAATATTGATGATATAAAAATATTGAAATAATAAAAAAGAAACTATTTCTAATTTCAAATTTTAATATGAATAAAGATTGAATATCTAATAAACTGTAATAACAATAACAATTTATAATACAAAAGGCTGAGAATTTAATGATTTTATTTCAATAGAAGAATTTAAATTTTTTTAAACTAAATATTGTTTTTATTTTTTAATCAATAATTAAAGCAAAATATAAAGAATAAATAAAATTTATAAAAATAGTTACCTCTTCGCGTGATGGATGACTGCCTTATTTCTTCGAGAAGCACTGACTCTACCCTGTACCGCAAACGAATATTAAAAATAAAAAAATAAAAATAAAAAACTAACGCGTCCATTTCATTTACAATCGGCGAACAAACACTGACTCTAATTTCCCGACTTTAATAAATAAATTTAATTAGAGCTATTGTGCTCTAGAATATTAAAAAACTATTACGAAGCAAACACTGAATCTACCGATCGCATTGCGCGCGATCGCAATAATTGTCTGGAAATAAAGCTGTATTAGTAATAGGGGGAAATATATAGAAAAAGAAACAAAATATTTTTTCTTCTTCTTTCTATCAAACATTTGTTTCAGAAAAAAATTGCCATTTTTATTGAAACTAAGAATTGATTATTATCAATTTTTTTATGAATAAGAAAATTTCATATACAAGAAAATAGATTATATATACAAATACAATATTATTAATAATATTTATGGTGAATGTTCATTATATTATACTTTGAAATGATAAAATATATCATAAAAACGATCGAATAAAAACAGAATAAATACATACAGTACGCAAACGAAATATCAAACTTCTTGAAAAAGTACGATGGCGTCCATATTGAAATTTTTCCCGCCTTTCAAATTATACCAATAATCTGTACGAAAGAAAATAAAAATTTATTTATATATATATATATACATATACATGAAATAAAATAAAATTAATCGAAATAAAACAAATATCAAGCACAAATTCCATTTTAAAAAGGCATACATACGAAAATTAAACTAAATTCTTAACCAAAATCCTAACCGTCGAATAAATTTCCGTTATTATTTCGATTAACGAATTAGAAGTGGGCGGAAGGAGGGGGGGGGGGTGTATGCGCGCGCGGCAAGTCTAAACCTGTCGAAACCTGTCGAAGCATATCGAAATATGTTGAACGTGATAAAAAACGCGAACTCTTGGAAAAGCGATATTATGAAAACAAATAATGAGTCCCGAGCATTGAACAAAAAAGAAAAAAAATATAAACATTACGAAGAGATGCATTTAGAAACAAAATAATACGTTTGTAATACGTATATATATTATACGCATATATCGATATATTTCGAATATGATAAAATAAAATTGACTTTATATATACGATCGTTTCAATATGGATAAAAAGATTATAAAAATTTATTCTAAATAAATTTATTCTAATAAATTTATTCGTTAAATAGTATATTAACATGAAAATCATCAGTCATAAATCGTTGTAATGTCCATACCACCAAGCTATTTTTTTTTCTTCCAAGCCGTCCCGACAATCGAGCGAATAAATTCTTTCAAATAAAAATTAAAATTGTAAAACAAATGTATAAAAAAATTATACTAAAATGAAGCAACAAATGAATTCGAATCCCGATTCAACGAAGCACGAAATACCGACAATCTCGATGGAAACGATCGACGGAAAAAATACAAAAAAAATCCCAAATACTAATTAATTTCGACGTTACAATAATAAATAAATTATTAAATAAACAAAAATTATAATAATTTATAAATATGATGGTAAAATATGATCAAAATTACTTATTGCGCAGTAGAATTTTCGAAACACGAAATACCGGTAATCGAAAATGATCGATGGAAAAAACACAAAAAAATCTCAAATATTAATTAATTTCGACATTACAATAATAAATAAACTATTAAATAAACGAAAATGATAATAATTTATAAATATAATGGTAAAATATGATCAAAATTACTCACTGCGTCGTAGAATTTTCGAAGCCGGCTGCGACAACACGTCCTCTCACTAGCACTTTCCACAGAAGACTGACTCCCTGGCCCGCCAAAATTTTCTTAGAAGCTTTCTGATTGGCTGACATCGTACGATTCGATAATCGAAATCGTACAGAATATTAAAATATTATTATAATATATTTTATTTATTTTAATTAACAATTTTAATTAAAAAATTAATTTATTTACATATTATTAAATTTTAATCTATTATTTATTTTTTTAATTCTTATATTTTTACATTTTTTTATTAATTTATTTATTCGTTAATTTATTATCGATTTATCGATTATCGATTTATCGAATTTATTTACTGAATTATTTATTCTTCTAATGATTTATTTTTAGATATTTATAAATTTCTTTAAATTGCTCATTTATATACACATGAAATTAATTATTTTTTAATTTATCATTTTTTGTAAAATTATTTATAAATTTATTTATATAATATAATTGTTTATATAGTTATTTATCCATTTGTTTAATGATTTCATAGACATTTTTATAGATATTTCTTTTCTGTTTATTCAAATATGCATCTATTTATTTATTTATTTGCTCATTTTTTTATTATTTTTATTATATATTGTATATTTATTTATTCATATGGGCAATAACTTATTTGTACACTTCATTAATTAATGTCCATTTATATATGCATCAAATCCATTTATTTATTTATTTATTTATTCCTTCACTTATTTATATTTATTAATTCTTTTATTAATTCATTTATCTACTGACTTATTTATTTTATTCATTTATGTATGCATCAATATATTTACTTTCCTTTTTCCTTATTCCTTCATTCATTTAGTTATTTTATTTATTTTATTTATACATTTGTCTAATGATTTATTTGTATAGACTTTTTCATTATATTTATTTATGCTTCAAAGTGTTTATTTATTTATTTAACTATTTATATATTCAATTATTCATTTGTCTATTGACTTATTTAGAGATCACTTTATTTTGTTCATTTATGTATCAAATTTATTTATTCACTTAATTGTTGATATGTTTATTCATTAATTTATATAATGATTTATTTATAGATTTCTATATTTTGTTAATTTATATATTCATAAATTTATTCATTTTCATTTGTATAACTATTTATATATTTATTCAATGATGACTTACTTGTAGATTTATTTTTCTATTTTATTTATTTATATATGCATCAAATTATTTATTTCTTTACCTCTTTATTTATTTAATTACTTATATATTTATTCATTTATTTGTCTTGTCAATGATATTATTTATAAACTTCTTAGTTTTGATTACTTATGAATGCATTAAATTATTTATTTGCTCATTTATTTATTTATATATTATTTTTATATTATTTTTATTTATTTATATATTAATATGTTATAATTACATAATATTTTATAATTATTATAAGTATATTATAAGATTACATAAAAATTATAGATACAAATTATGAACAAATGAATGAATAAAGAAATGAACAAATAATTAAATAACTAAAAGTATAAATGTATAATTACTAATTTGATACATATATAAACAAAATAAAAAAATCTCATTCATTTCATCAAATCATTTAATAAATGAATGATTAATATATATTAAATAATATAAATTATTAAATTAAAGTAATAAATATTTCTTTATCTATATATTTCATACTACATATTTTGATACATAATACATAATACATAAATGAACAAAATATAAAATCTATAAATAAATTTACAGAAAAATAAATGCTTAAATGAATAAATATATAAACATATAAATAATTAAATAAATAAATATTTTAATGCATGCATAAATGTCAAAAATAAATATATAATTGAATAAAACAAAAAAGTTTACAAATAAGATATTAAACAAATCAATGAATAAATACATAATTAATTAAATAAAGAAAGGAGTGAATAACTAAATAATTTGATACAAAAATGAGCAATACAAAAACAATTGTACAAATACAGTGTCTACAAATAAATCTGTAGACAAATGAATGAATGAAAAAAAATGAATGGATATATAAATAAATAAGTAATTAAAGGGGAAATTATATAAATAATTTGATACATACATAAGTGCACAACGACATAAGTGCAAGCAAAATAAAACAATCTAGAAATGAATCATTAATCAAATAAATAAATAAATATATGAATAGTTAATATATACCTAAAACTAAATAGTTAATATATAAATGATTTGATATATACATAAGTGAACAAAATTAAGGATTTATTAGTTATTTATATGTATGATTGTTGTTATTTCATTTATATAATGATTTTTTTCTTGATTTTTTTTGTAGAGTTTATTGTTTTACTAAGACTTTTTCTAGAAATGAATCATTAATCAAATAAATAAATTAATATATGAAGAGTTAATATATAACTAAAACTTAATAGTTAATATATAAATGATTTGATATATACATAAGTGAACAAAATTAAGGATTTATTAGTTATTTTTATGTAGAATTGTTGTTATTTCATTTATATAATGATTTTTTTCTTGATTTTTTTGTAGAATTTATTGTTTTACTCATTTATATCTACAATTTATTTATTTATTTATTTATTCTTTTATATGTTAAAGATTAGTTTTGTCATAAAAGAATGAATATATAAATTTATAAATACTAAGAAATGTAAATAAAAAAATAAAAAATAAGTAAATATATAAATAATTGAAAGAATAAGTAGATCAAAAAAAGAATATTTAAATAAATGGACAAAATATATGTATAAATAAATAAATATATAAAATAAAAAATTAATGTGAATAAATAAATAAATAAAAATGTTAAAAAATTAAAAATTCTGATATTTTAATTAATTTTTTAATATAATAAATAATTTTTAACCTTATCCTCAATTAATATTTTTAATATTATATTTATCATATACTCTTTTTAATTTTACTTTTTAATTAATTTTTAACAATTGCTTCATTAACTTGCTTAATCATTGACATTTTATTTATTTTTAGTTATATATTTTTTTATTTA